CCTCCAATCACGCCTTCACTGTCACAATATTTTACTTGCTTAATTAACTGTGGTACGGTGTGCCCTTTTGGGCGGCTTTCATGAGAACCCTCCGCACTTCAGGCTGGCCTTCTCACCCCCCTTCATCCTTGTACGGGAAATGTTGATCAGAGTCTGCTATATTGTTACGCAGTCCTCCTTCCATAGATCTTATCACAGTCTCCCTCTTACTCCGTAAGATCCGTCTGTTCTCGCCTTGATTCACGTATTTCACTCGACCCCTACCACCCCATCTCTGCCACTCGAAGCTTAATTCGCCCTCATCTGCGTCTGAGTGACTAATTCGAGGCTAAAGCCTCTGAGTAAGTCTCATGGTCACGCCTCTGCTGCATGGACCATGTCTCTGGTAAAACCTACTGTCAGCCAACTAGCTCCAGTCTCCGCCTCGTCTATCCTGTTTCTATCCACAATACCAAGCCTATGACTTCCCATGTCCTAGTCTCTTGTGGGCCAACCCACAAATGTTGTAGTACCGTTTGCTTTGATTAGGTTTATTGTTGAACCACAACATTTGTCTGTTGGCACACTATGTAAAAAATACCTCAAATTTGCCTCTTTTTCAATGATTCCCATTTATCGGCTTAAACCTCCAATTACGAGTAAGGATAGCCAAACATCTGAACCCAAAATTTGTGAAGTTAGATTTCCAGCCTACTCCTTGGATCTGGCAAAGCAGAGAGTAAAGTCCTGAAAATAAGTGTTTCTAATTGCAGTAAGCCTTCCACAATCCTGAATACAGGTCCCCTTACCTGAAGTCTACTTCTTCCTCAGAATACTCTGTGGTTTCCTCCTCTTCTCTCTCTGGATTTTCTGCCCCACCCGAATTCTTCATGAAGTTTTTCTTCCCCTCCGCACTCTCTTCTTGGGCTCGCCATCTGGAAGCCTGCCCCTTTCCGGTACCACGTCCCTGTTCCCTCGTCCTACAGACCAGTCCGGCTGAGTCGACACACGGTCTACAGCCTTCCTTACCTCCTTCCGCATCTATTTCTCCCTCTACAACGGATCCCACCACTTGTCTGGCCGTGATGCCGAGAGCTCGAGCCAACTGGCGGCAGACAGAGTTTCCAGCCTCCAGCATGATGTTTTCCCGACATCGGAGGTGTTGCCATAGGACCGTCTGTCGGGCTCGGCAGGCGGAGAGTTGACCCGTAAATCGGGACACATTGGCTTGCTCCAGACTACAGTGCCGGCGAGCAGAGTCCAGTTGACTCTGGATTCGGCCCAAGTGAAGATCCAGGCGCTGAAACCGGAGCAGGACAGAATTAGGGACGGCAAACAGTTTCGATAAGATGGCTCGGTATGACATATTGTCGGTAATAGTAGTTGGGGTGATAACGGGATGATAATGGGAGGACAGAAATTAATGTAAATCAGAAGAACAGGGGGATAAAGTGCCACCTTGTTGAAGCAAACGAATGGAG